GTATTTCTATATTTTCTGTTGAGAACAACTCAAAATATTAGTTTTGTTTTGCTTTTCCTGTCATCCTTTAAAACCATTTCTACCTCGTTGCTACATATTGTACTTGTTTGTTGTTTCATTTTGAATGTCATGCATTTTGTGAGTTAAAAAAGTAAAACAACAAAAACAAACAAAAAATAAATGAAACAAAAAGAGAATGAAAAGCTTGTTCTTGAATCGGAGCAGTCTACCTCAAAAAGACTGTCTTTACACTGTCAAGTACAAGTTGCAGAAAAACGGCACCTTGGAGACAAAGCTAACCTGCACACACTGACATCCAGTTTATTTAGAGTAACACTTTCTCATTGAGTTGTTGTGGACTGTATTTCTTGCAAGTTTTACAATGCAACTCTAACTCTTAAAAGAAAAAGAAAGAAAAAAGAACAAATTGCTTTAATCTTCTGTGAACTGTTGTAGTGCCATGTTGATGTGTATGTACGTGCACTGGCAATTCTACATGCAAGTGTGAAGGGTTACCAGTAAGGGTTGAAGATTTTGAATTTTTACTTTTCCTACACATGTAAAAACAATGAACTTGCACATAGCTGTATATAATGTACATTTGCTACTGATATACATCATAATGCACCACATATCTGTTTATATGTGTGTATGTATCGCCATATTTACAGTACAGTCAATTTAATTGTATTTTGATTTCAAGGTACANTCCCTGTGGGGACCATATGTGGCATACACCTCTACTTATGGGAACCAAATTGTACTTGTGGGAAACTAAGCCTATCTCCATGGGGGAAATGCCATTGGTGGGTCAGGGTTCTTGTTTAGAACCAGTGGGTGAGAAGTGAGTTTAGGGTCAGGTATCTGTGAGGTTAGATTAATGGAATTCAATGCAATGTTCCCATAAAGATAACATGCATGCATGTTTGTGTGTGTTTTTCTAAATCATTGTGCTTTTTAAGCATTTTGTTGTGCAAGACAGTCTAAGTTAAGTTATTTTTTCCTAACGTTTCTTACTGGTGCTAAATGCAGTAAAAGTAATTATATTACAAACAGCAATTAAGGACCTGTTTGTACCAAAGTACGACATAAAGTCTTTTTATAATAAGAAAATAAACTGCTAAAAATCCACTTTTATTATGTCATTAAGTTGTTGGTGATGCCTGTGTTTGATGTTTCAGTCTCATTAACAGAAATGGGAATAAACAAAGCATACTGTGTTAGAAAGTATTACTGTTAACTATCCTGTGAGCAGCTCAATATGATCTGTAGGTGGAGTGTATATCAGAAAGCACATTTATTTTATTTAATCATCCCAAAGATTGGAAGTTTAGGCTGTTTTTGATCAAAGAACAATTTAACATTTTCATAAAAATTGCCAGAAATTTGGATTAAAAAAAATATTTTCTACACTGAAAAATTATATGTAAAAATATTTTTCCATGTAGCTTTTCTACCTAAACAATCAAATTTTACATAATTTAAACTTTTTAAGTTATGACAATAACATAATTAGAAATAATCATACAAAATTTCAGCTTAAAAGTGTAAATTTGTAATATGAGTGCTTCTGGTCAACTTCTAAATAGTTTTCTTCAAAATAATGTAAGAGGTTATTAATACAACAAAGCTACCACTCAGGAGGAAAAAAACGTCTGAAGTTAATTACAATACAATTTGAAACTTTTACTCGACATATTTATAGACAAAAACACCTAAAGGAAAACAAAATGTAGCATTAATGATTTTAATATAGATTTACTTGCCACTGTAGCAAGTCTGACTAATGAGAGATGCTTCGTTTCAATTTAGCAGATAATTTGTTTGAACATGTAAATCACTTATTATCTCAGCAATACATCTGTCCATCCATTCATCCATCCATCCATCCATCCATCCATCCATCCATCCATCCATCCATCCATCCATCCATCCATCCATCCATCCATTTTCTTTACCTGTTTCTTCC